CACGGCGAGGCCTCTGCGCCTGGACACGGTTTCCCCGCCGGTGCAGAGCCTCGAAGGCAGGCGGCAAGGAGGGCCCCGCAGTGCGCAGGTTAAATGCATTAACATATGCAAAGCACGGAGAAAACCGCCTGGCATGTAATACGTGCTCAAAAATGTAATTCCTATTATTATTACTCAGTGTGTTGTTACTCAAAGATGTGCTATTTTTATTACCGGAAAATGTGTTTTCATTTTCCTGCCATTATTGCAAAGTGAGTTGTGAGGCTTGGTACTTGGAAACTGGGACGGTGGAAGAAACCAGGTGGATAGACCCGCAGGTGGGGCCAGTTATCGGAAGAGTTGCGGGAGTGGCGCTGGGTGTGGACAAGCGTCTCGCAGCTGTGCAAATCTCTCCGTCGGATCGAGACGGGTCCAGGAACCTGCAGGTGACTCGAGCCTGGGACCAGGTGGTGTTCAGTGGGACCGGTGACAAAGAGGTAAGGGAACCGGCCGACCTTGTGCAAAAGGGCATCCCTGAGTTATAATTTAGGATCAACTACAGTAGCACTGGGAAAACGTGCACATTATCTAAAATAAGTATCTGTATTTTTTCCTACGCGTTGCTGTTCAATCAGCAATCATTTGACATTAGGGCTGCAATGATCAAATGAAAATAGAGAGATGAAACTGCAGTGGATTTACACCTCAAGCTTTGTGTGCTTAGTGTCCACCCTGCGCCGTTAGAGGCTGCTTGGAAGGTGTTTCTGGAACGTCACCACCCAAGTGTGCCCGTGGGGATGACGGGGACAGGAGATGAGGGAGCGTTGCCAGGCGTCTGGGTCGCTGGAATGTGAATATCTGTCCTCAGACACGGTCGCAGGGACCAGCGCGTGTTGAGAGAGGAGGGGAGCACAGTGGGGGAGGGGAGCGCGGTGGGGGAGGGGAGCGTGGTGGGGGAGGGGGAGCGAACACCTGCACAGGCCTTGCCGGCAGCCGCGATCCGACACACTCAGAAAACTTAACGGGAAAAATCCACTTACCAGTGAACTAGCCATGACCTCGTCCTTTTTACTTTATAAACACTCAAAATTTACCAGCTGCAATTGCTGCAAAATTGCAGAGAAATGTGGAGAAACTGGGAGAAGTGTGGTCTTTTCTGAAGATTTCATTTCTATTTAATTTTCGGAATGAGACCATTCCTGGCTTTGTGTCTTAAAACTGCTCCGGCTGAAATCCTGTTCCCGGATTTCAGAGAACTGACTAATAAACGGGATATTTCACGAGTTACTAAGACATCACTAGCTGATTACCGTAAAACAAGACTTCACGCCCGCCCAGAATCTGCAGGCCGGGACGTGAAACACGGCTCCTTCTGCATGGCTGGATCAGGGTCCGAGTTTGTCCAGCCTCACGCGTGTGAGCTCCGTGACACGTGGCTTCTTGCTGTCCTGACCGGGAGACTCACAGCTTCCCAGTGAGCTCCCCCCCCCGCTGACACCGCTCTCTCTTCTTGCCCACACTTGCACCAATATTTATTCTAGAAATTCCTAAAAAATGAGCCTGACTCTACCAGGCCCACGTCTGTTCCCTGCCCTCGCGCTAGAACCATCTGAAAGCAGCGGGTCCCGGTCGTCTGCC